TTTGATGCAAAGGTGATATAATACAAAGAATAGTGTTATAAATGTACATACATTAAAAAAAAAAATACAAATATGAAAAACGTTCGAGGATTTACGATGCTGATGACCGTTAAACGCGTCATCACAGTCTTGTGAAAAGGGTCCATAGAGAGGAACTACAAATTTCCCAAAATAAAAAAATATCATGTCACAGAAATCAAAACAATGTAACCTTTGCAAATCATCTAAGTTTGAATTCTTTCCACCGTTCTTATTCCCAGGTTCCCATCACTAAAAGCCATCATTCAAACAGTATTAGAGCAGAAGTTCGAGGAATTGTTTTCTTGACTTCAGTGTGTGGTCCGACTCCAGGACACATCAGCTCATGGTTACCTCTCTTTACTGCACGACAGTTCCTGACGCTTGACGGACAGAAAGCACGACTAAGGTCCCGTCTCAAAGCACACTTCGCGGCTCTCTGCATGTCTACAAATTATACAATTATATATCTAACATTAAAGAGAAAAGGTATCTATTAGCGCTGAAGGTTGTAGCGCTTTTAAGTGACGTCATTGCGTCGCTACGTTCGTGCACGTGGAGACGTCGGGTGTATGATGTTGATTATGTCACAGAGAAAACTGTTTGTGGAGACAGCGATAGCAAACTAAGAAAAACTGTTAAGACAAGGCATCACAAAATATTACTTTTAGTGTATTATAAACTTTACACTCAAAGCCCCATTTGTGGCACTCTCACACAAATGAGTCCAACAAGTCTTTGAGTTTGGTTTACTAAATGTATGGAAGCAGTTCAGAACATATTTGTCAGTAGGACAGCTAAACTGATGGTGATTTGCATCATCTACTTCCAGCACCAGACATTTTTCTACATGATTGGGTAGTCAGTGTAAAAGTTTCCCATAGCTAAATGTTATTCCTATACTTGCACAGTTGTATTCAATGATGCAATTCAGTGGCGTAGACAAAACAATTCCCCTTTGCATTTAGGGCCAACTTCTGGCAGGCTGTATTTCACACTTTGTAGTTAGTGGAACAGTCTAGTAAATCAGTAAATTAATTTTCAAAGTCATTTTCATGGTGTGTAAACTGTGGGTGTCCAGTTTACATGCCTTTGGTAAAGTGTAGAATGTGATTTTTCATCCAAGTCGGCCGTTAAATTCCATGGCTTCTGTAGCTATATCTTAGATTAAGACATACTGCATAAATTTCACTGCAGTGATAAAAATGGAGCTTGGCCATCTGAAGAAAGGTGTTGACTGCTATGAAACTGCTACTGGCATTAGGTAAACATTGAACTGTAGGTAGAAGTCGCCCTGTAAAGTCAACACTGTGAGTTAGTTATGGGAATCTGATGCTAGGTCAACATGACAAGACAATTTCAGCTTTAAACAGCCCATGAAATGGGGTATGATGTAATGTGAGATGAAACGATTGAGAAACAGGATCTGAACTTTAAAAGGGAATAGAGCGGTTGCCTCTGGAAACAACAAAAAGTAGTACAGTGTTAACACTTGTTATATTTCAAATTAATCTTTATTTAATCAAGATACGTAAAATGAGATATCCATCATTTTGAGGTGTAATATATTAGAATAATGCACTAGCAGATGTTTGTGGTTGAAGCTAACATGTAATTTAAGCACCACAACTATATATTTTATGTTACTGGTATTTGACATCTTCAGCGTAATTAATGATATGAAGAGGACCAGCTTATGTTATAACCCAGACAAATACTATATAAAAGCATTAAGTGAGTTTTCAAAATCTGTAGGCATGTAATGTCCACAAGTGTGGAAAGAAATAATGTGTTCATGTCTGTTCCAAGGCTCTGGTCAGACAGCCTTAGACATAGCTGTGGTGGAGTAATGTCTAAGAGCTCCATGCAAAATTGAGTTTATTTGTTTGCACTGATGAGGGAGACATGACAACTCTTGCTTTAATGTACTGTATGTCGAGGGCCATGTGATGTATTCATTTTCAAAATGTTGGACATATTAGCACATCAGGAGCATATAAGTAATTTTATTAGTAGCTTATAATGCATTTAGTAATTAAATATGTACACTTTTTGCACATCCCTCTTATGTTGCACTGGTGACAAATAATTGTGATTACTGTAATTTCACGTTTTTACTAACTAATACAATAAAATGTAATAGATTTTTAAGTCAATGTGTTAGCCACTTAATGCAAAATGCACAAAGCATGTAATTAAATTTAGATTCTGGATGATGATCAATTTCCAATTTTCCATTGCTCAATACATTGAGGTATAACCTCTGGAATCTTCTTGATTGTTTTTGAGGGAGCAATGTGTGCAATTGTTACCAGTTATTTAGACGGAAAACTGTTTTAACAGATAACATTTCAACATCACCCGGTGCTGTATCACCTTTTTTTGTGTATGAATATTATTGATTGACCACTATTCTGATTATACAACTTTTGTTTAGAACACAGGTTGTTTCTTCATCAGAACAGATTTGGAGAAATTAACATTGCATCACTTGCTCACCAATGGATCCTCTGCAGTGAATGGGTGCCGTCAGAATGAGAGTCCAAACAGCTAATAAAAACATAACAATAATCCTCAAGTAATTCACACGACTCCAGTCCATCATTTAACGTCATGAAGGGAAATGCTGTGTGCCTATTAGAAACACATCCATCATTAAGATGTTTTTAATTTCAAACCGTTGCTTCCAGCTAAAGTATGAGTCCTCTATCCAAAAGCTTTCTCCAGTGAAAAAGTCATTTTGTCTGAATCAGCAGATATGCACAATCGAAAAAAAGTCAAAACTGTTCTAAACAGATATGTCAGTGGATTTTGATGTGAGAGGACAACCTTTTTACTGGAGGAAGTGTTTTGGATTATGGACTCATATTTTGGCCATGAAGTCATGGTTTGAAGTTAAAATGCCTAAATCACAAACATGTTTATTACAAACAAGCAGCTTTTCACTTCACAAAACTTTAACTGCTGGACTGGAGTCATGTGGGCTACTTGTGGATTATTGTGATGCTTTTATCAGCTGTTTGTACGCTCATTCTGACGGTACCCATTCGCTGCAGAGGATCCTCTGGTGAGCAAGTGGAAGTGGATCTTGGATGGCCTGAGGGTGAGTAACTTTTCAGCAATTTTTTCAGCATTTTTAAAAATATAAGTACAATGTAAATACATGTACATACACAATAAGTGCACTGTATCTCATGATTAATTTAAAGGTTATTACATTAAAGACACATAATATAAAGTGGCTCTGAAGCATTTAAAATCACCGGCGTAGCACAGCAGACTCAGGAAAATCTAGTGCGTATAATAGTCTGTGGTCAGGAACTGGGTTACTGGCTGGCAAGTTTAAAAATTGGCTCAACACTTTTTATTTTATTGTTGCTCAGTGGTATCCCCCTGGAAAAGACAAACCAACTCATAAAAGTAACGACAACAGCACAAGACTCAAATTCAGATTTAAATTTGCATTGTCTCCCAGTAGACGCACACCTCTTTTTATAGTCCACTATTTAAGCAAGGAGAGTAGAAGCTTTACCGCAAGTATAAAAGAGTTTACCCTCAGAAATGTTTCTTCTCATTTGCAGACCTTGTTAAACCGCTTGAAAACAGGCTGCTCTTGCAGACTCTGGGAATTCAGCAGGCTGATGTAAGCTAGTACATGCCGCTGTGTCTGTCTGCGCACTTGTAACAAGTCGACTACTGAAGGAGAAGGTGTCAGGGGCTTGTCCAGCATGTTTTGCATCTGCACCTGGCTGTGGGGTGCATGCGTTCATGTCCAGACAAACCTCTCTGTGGCTGGCTGGGATGAATCAGATTTCACAATGAGCTGGCAAACAAGCAATAGTCTGCATATCATCGACAAAATAATGTACAAATGCTTATTACTAACATAGTTGATTCTGTCTGCACCAGCAAATTTTGGGAAAGATGCCCTTAAAATAATATTAAGATTGACAGAAAAAGACAGAATTTTTTTTTCACCTTTAGAGCTCCAGTGACCCTATTTTGCTTATATACACATTCTGTATAGATTTGAAGAGGGCACAGTATTCTCGTTGGGTCTGATTTGAAACTTGTTATCTTTGCAGTTATTAAGTGAGACAATTTGAGTTGACAAACATTTATTGATTGATTGATTGTTATTAAAGGAATAGTTCATTCAAAAATGAAAATTTGCTGAAAATGTACCCACCCTCAGGCCATCCAAGATGTAGATGAGTTTGTTTCTCCATCAGAACAGATTTGGAGAAATTTAGCTTTACATCACTTGCTCAACAATGGATCCTCTGCAGTGAATGGGTTCCGTCAGAATGAGAGTTCTAACTGCTGATAAAAAACTGCAATAATCTAAGTAATCCACACATCTCCATTCCATAAATTAATGTCTTGTAAAGTAAGAAGCCTCACCATTAAGATGTTTTTAACTTCAAATCATTGCTTTGTCTAAAATACCTCTATTCATAATATTGCTTTCTCCAGTGAAAAAGTCATCTTATCTGAACAAGTAGGGAAATATGCACCAATCATGCACCATTTACAAGCGAAAACAGTCCAAAACAGTTCTAAGCAAATATGTTGGTGGATTTTGATGTAAGAGGACAACAGGGGATGGACTTTTTTTCACTGGATTTTTCACTTTTTTCACTAATTATGGATTCGTATTTTGGCCAGAAGCGATGGTTTAAAGTTAAAGACGTCTTCTTACAAACACAGCTTTTTGCTTCACCAGATGTGTGTGGATTTTTTTTGTGGATTTTGTTGATGTTTCTATCAGCTGCTTGAACTCTCATTCTGATGGCACCAATTCACTGAAGATAAATTGGTGAGTGAGTGATGTAACTCAATTTCTGTAGTTTTCCTGTAGTTAATGTACTACATTTTTGTTTCAATCTGTTCCAATGAAGAAACAAATTCATCAACAAACAACTCATTTTTATCTTTTGGTTTTAAGTTACAAAGTTACAGATGAATTTGTGACCAAATATACAGTAATAGAGTTTGATGTGCCTTTAACATCAACTAAAAGGTAAGGGAAGTGATTTGTCTCCCCTCCTCTATATTTACAATCATGTGGTTAGTTACACTATATTATTTGCACTTAGCATTTTTTCCTTGCTTCCCTATTAGAGCAGACCTGCAGCCCATTGTTGGGTCATGACCTTCCAGTTATGTCATACTGTTCCAAAGTGCATGCACTCCGCCACTGACATGTCTAAAAGGTGCAATTGTGAGGGTAGTCTTTTTTTTCCTGAAAACCTACAGTTTTAATTTGCCATGACCGTCAGGGTGTGTCTGAGATGCCTGAGAATCTCTGTCATAATAGAAAACTTAAATATCTTTTTCTGGACGATTTAATACAGCACAAGTGCGCTCATAACAGTGAGCTCATTGAACTGTGACATTTCTCAATAACATCTTATTTTAAATCATGACCTAATGTTTTCTGTTTTCATGTGTTCAGAAATTCGTACGAAAGGAAATATATTCTGATTTGTGAAGGTGCTGCAAG